TATATATATATATATATATATATATATATATATGATACAGATTAATAATAGCTAAAATATGATCTAATTACCCAACTTATTCAGTGTTTTAAAAACCGCTTTGAACCGGCCGGGCGAACCGGTTGGACCGGGAACCGGAGAATAGAGCGGTTCAACTATCACCGGTTTTACACCAATTTCTGAACCGCATTGAACTGACCGGTTTTTAGAAAAAACCGGTTGAACCGGTCAAAATAAACCGGTTGAACCGGTTAAACGAAATAAAAATAAATGGAAAAAAACCATTTTCAATAATAAACTTTAGTGGATTTTTTCACATCTATTTAGATTTCTCTAAATAAAAACATATGACAAATGTTATGATGCTTTTAGATACACTTGTATTTATCTAAAACTATATTTTGTTTCGGTATTATATTTTATTTTCTTTTTGACATATGTGAATTGATGTAAAACTTATAGTTATGTGTTGTTTTAATGTATTTATATTGATCTACAACTTATTTCTATATGTACTTTTAATGTTTGAACTTGTAGACGTCAAATTCATGATTTTTGTATGTATGTATGTATAGAAAAATAAGAAAAAAAAAGATGAAAATTATAGAAACCCGTTGACCCGACGGTCAAACCGGTTAAACCGGGAACCGTTCGCCATACCTGTTCAACTAAAAACCGATTTTTAAAACATTGAACTTATTAGTCATTACTTAGCTAAAGTTGTATATTTTATTATTTTTATTTATTTAAAATTTAAATGAAGTTTTCTTTATCTTGTCTATTTATACCACAAATATTTTTGTGAACAAATGCATATTTATGTATACCACACTTCTAGCAAGTGACTATAACTAAAAAAATAAGTTGGAAGATATATTATTTAATAACGAAAAAGAATGCAAATGTAGCACCCGATTCCTGGTACGTATTTAATTTCATTGAAATGTTACGATTTACTCTGGGACTCGGCGAGTTGGAGGCCCAACTCGTCGAGTAGACTCGACTGTTGGATCGGGGGTTTAAGTGACCTCCTCGACGAGTCGGAAGACCGACTCGACGAGTAGGAGCTGTCTGGACAAAACCCTAATATTTAGGGTTTGCACCCTATTTAAACACTTTATCTCGTCCAAACCCAACCTCCATCACCCTCCCAACTCAGAGAAACCCTAGATTGAAACCCTAAACCATTTTTGAGTGAT